GCAGCTAGAACAAAAATTTTTTCACTGTTAAATAGGGCATTGTTTACACTATATATACCGCTATTCAAAACAGAAAATTTCGTACCTACGATTTTTTCAGAAAATGCCGCCTAAATGCCCACTGTGTAATGGTGATTTTAAGTGAGCAAAATAATTAAAAATTAAATAAAAGGAATTGTATCAGAAACCTGGGAAGGAGGTTAGAGGGGATAGGCGGTGTGAGAGTGAATCCGGAGGGTAGTTTCATGCAGCGAGTATTTTTTATCACAATTGGAGAATGTGTTATAAAGATCAGGATTTTAGGTACAATCCGAAAAAAATGAGCTAAAGAGGCGGGAGTAGTCATCTCCTTGGTCTACTCCCATTGCTTGTAGTCGTCTTGGGGCTACTTGATACGGCTTTGGCAAGCGGTATTCAGTTTTCGTATATGTGTGTGAGGAAATGTTGATACCGCAGGCCGCTGACTGCAGTGATCCACTGGGATGATACAGGGTGCTTGACTGGCGAAAGTGGCATCTGTTTTTGACCGTCTTTTATCAATGCCATTCGTGATTGCCACTGCTCGGTATTTTCTTCTACGCTTTTTAATAAATTTGACTATGAAACATCCAATGGCAACAGCAATAACAACGCAATGATCATAATCAGAATATCACGCCAGTATACAAGTACTGGAACAGTAAGTAAAACTGGCATTGGATGAAAAATACTGAATTAGTATTACACATTTATGTTATTTATTATCGATTGCCAAACATATTTGGGTTATACAAGATTTATGCGTTGAATCAGAAATGTATTTTTCAGCTGGTATAATACCATGTCTGAGCAACGAAATTGTTCACTGGAATAGTTAATTGTTTAACACCCACGAAATTTTCTATAAAACTTTGCATTTTTACTACTGAATATTTCCGGACCATTCGTTATCTTGCGTTTTACACCTATTATTTCACATATTGCTTGTGCAATTAATGTCCAAGGTAGTGCAGGTCAACGTAACTTACCACGTGGATCTTTCATTAATTATATGCTAAAAATATAGATTCTATAAATGCATTAGCAACGTTTCGAGCACATGTAGATTAACTTGGCATAATTTTTTTGGGCGTTAGTGGATGTTCTCATCTTTTTCAAATATCCCTTTGCGTACGAGAGAAAAAAATAGACCTGCATTGTCTATCAAGTCCATCCAGTTTCAAATTTAACTTGGTAAGAAAGAAATAAAATTTCAAATTTTTTTAATAATTTCTTGTATTCTTACATGTATGTTCTACTACAGAAGAAAATAGTAATTAAGTCATAAGCGTGATTCTGAAATAATTTTGTCGGATTGAAAACATAAGAGAGCATACGTACCACTACTAATTTTTGTTTTTTGACTATCTTTCTCTAACTATCAAATTCTTTTTCAGAAAATTATGCTGAACAATTACTGATGTTTCATGTGTTTTGTTCAGCTAATTCGATTGTGTTATTGTATAATGTAGAAAAGGTTGGCTTTTTTTCAATACTATGATTGTTTATATTACAAAAACGATCGTGCAATAATTAAATACTGTATTTAATCAAATGAAAATATTAAATTGAAATTGTTCAATATGTTGCAATATTGGCATAAAATATTCATTTTTACGCTCACACCCAATGAAATTTTAACATAGCATTCGTCTATTGAACAGGTTGATCAATATGGCGCTTATTTTAATGGACATCATCATAACAGTGACGGTCAATTTTTTTGTAATTTCACATACACGAATACATTTAGCAAATATTGCGAATATTCATTTTATTTCACCGGAACATTTGATGATGAAATAACAAAATATGACTAATATTTCACTTCAAGAAGATCCGGTTCATCATTACATAAATCTACAACAAATTGTTTTCCTCCTGGAAAACTGGTTGATGGTGTCCTGTGTTCTGTTACATAACCTTTCGCTTGTTTTATTTGAAACACACCTGAAGTAGATAGAAACTTTTAGCAAATTTTTAAATCAAGTATAAAATAAGCTAGTCCTACCGAAAGTCAGATCTCGTAACCTGGTCCTCTGAAAGCTGTGGAAAGATACAGTCAGTTCCATCATAACTATCCCATTTTGAATTTTTAGCAAGATCATCTTTTAGAATACGTTTATAAAGTGGATTTTGATCATGTAAACGTTGTAGCAATTCATCAGCCATAGTAGCATCTTTAGTTAAGTTCAAAAAAATTGGAGGTCTGAATGTATCAGATAAGAAAATGGTACATGGTGTAACACATTAGGTATTACCCTAGGCGTCGATTCTTATATAAGCATCAGTTAAGAATCTTATAAGACACTTATAAGTACCCAATAAGATTCACGTAAGAATCTTACCTGATTCTTATCAAATTCTTATATAAGATTACGCAGGAAAGTGAATGGAGTTTGATAAGA